ACAGGGGAGAAATCCCTTTCCCTTTTCTCGGCCTTCATGCCTTTTGCACTTCTGCAGCTCAGAGCTCATTAGGAAAAAAAAATGCATTTAAAGACTGAATATTGCCTGCATTGGTTGTTCCCTTGCACATAACTTCAGATAAAATACCATGAATGTACATTTTGTTTAGATAAATTACCTTTTGTGTATTTTCTGTTCCCCATGTATTTCTCCGCCAGGCTCTAGTTGAGTCAGGGAACAGAGGAGACTAGAGAACTTCAGACTTACAATTGAACCAAAAGTTTTATTGAATTTCACCCTAATATTTACACAAACAATTGCATGGGAGGGTCCAGTCGTCATGCGCTTCAGCAAGCATCAGCGCTTGCCACAAACATATTGTGGCAAGAGATGCGCGTGTCAAAAGCAGCAGACAGAGTTCAGAACCAGCAAGAGAGAAAGACGCCACAATCTAGAAACAACAGAAAAATTCAGATTACAGTCTTCTACAATCAAATGAAACTGTCATTGTAGTGTTTGTCCTTCATAGCCGTCATTATATTTGGAAGAAAACACCATCCCAACAGGAAAATACCATGGAGTTTGGCTGCAGGAGGGAGTGGTGCACTTCATGCTGTCATGAGGAAAGAACATTTGATATAACTACGATCAGCTGGCCCTCGTGTTTTCGCCTGGTTTTGACGGTTTCTAAAGTTTTTCACAGCCCCCACGCCTCAAATATTTCTGCATATGCTTGCTACAAATGTAACGGCACGCAAGCAAAACGTCACAGGAACGTCTATGAAACAGAGAGAGACATTTTTATTTTTCTTTTTTTTGTAAATTTCCAATTTTATGACAAGTCACAAGGGATGGAGAATCAAGAATCAAGCCAAGAGTTTGTTTGCCTTTTCAATATTATTTATATGTGAGTGAAACAGTTTGTCCTTTCCAAATGAAACACAACAAAGTCAGTAAATATTGTTTGGCCTTAATTACTTGCAGGGAAAACAAGCTGCTCCTTTATGAGTTGTGACTGAAATAAAACAGGTTGGGGTAATCAAGGCTTTTTCATTGGCTCCTAATCCGAAGGTGCAATGTTTTTGGCAGAACTATTTCATTTTTCAGGGAAGCCTGCACTCATAATCTAACTCAGAGACCACCTCTGTGATAAATACAGTTTGTATATATTGGAAGAGGGAATGAACGGTAACTGAAGACAAGAGTCTAATTATTATTTTTGGGAGGTTTAATGAAAGAACGCAGCAGAACATTATAAAGTTATTCTGTTCTGGTTGAACTGGCTGTTTTTAGGCGTCTCCAACAGATCCCTTTTCTCTGCCTGTCATCTCCTCGGGATAAACAATAATCTGCCAAACAGAGGCCATAAATCCTTAATCCCAGCAGAGTTTATAGCTCCATTGTGTGTGAGTCATTCCGGGTTAAAGCAATGGTTCTTTTGGAGTTCCTCTCCCGTCACGGTCTTCCTGAAGCTTCAGTATGTGGTCAGAAAAACAGTCCCAGTCTTTTCCTGTCATGCCCTCCTCCTCTTCACCCTGACGGTGCACATTTCGCACGATGCTCCTGACTTGGACTTGTGGTGCTCATTTGTCCCGCTTCTGTTGTAAAAATTGCCTGTTGAGGAGCCGTTTGGGTCGGCAGGAAGCGAAGGGGTTTCGAGTTTCACCCAGCGATGGATGTGCGCTCAATTAAAGGAGGCCTTCTGATTGTTTTACGGGTTCCCAACGGCGCCCTAATGGTGTCTTGTTTATTATCTGCATTTTGAAAGCGCGTCACTCACAGGTGTGAAACGTGACAGTTACTTTGTGGCTGTGAGTGTTTTTACCACAGCTGTTAATTTTAAACTGTCCTTCCTGAACGGTTGGGAAGCTTTGTGAAATATGAGCGACTAACAAAGAAATACTTATCAACCGTTATCCTAAAAGAAAAAAGAAAAGAACTAATATAAAGCAAACACGATGTATTAGCTGTTAACTGATTTGCTCAAACTTTTTAAAAATATATTGGGCAAATGAAATGCGAGTACAACATCTCTGATGCAAATAACAAAGTAGATCTATAAGAAGCGTTGAATCAGTCTCTGGGTCAGAATGCTCACAGAGAGGCCTTTTTTATTGTCTGAACTGGATTTCTGATCATTGAAAAAAAAAAATACAACACTCTTGTTGAAGAACCATGATGCTGCCACTGCGTTCTTGTGCTGTTTGGCCTCCATGATGCCGTTTCTCCACATCGAGGTCACATAACACACATGAACTCTATTTACAAACTAGGCAACGTTAGAAGGTGGTTGACTACACCAGGATTTGTTCTGAAGACAAATCCTGGTGTTGCTGAAGACATTTGCGTGCCACACTTTTAAGATTGGATAAAATCCAAATACGACACATGGAAGTTTGCTGTTGAGTTTAAGGTTTGGTTATGTATTTATTTTAAAAAATTAAATTAGCTTATGTACATTTTATCAGCCATTTTCACATTTCCTGTCATTTAAAAAAGGAAAAGTCATGCTTTGTTTCTTTTATTTTGATAGAGTCCAACTTTTGCTGCTGCCTTTGCCCTAGTTTTACTCGTTACTGTTCTTCTCCAGTCTTTTTTCTCTGTGTGGAAAACCTCAGTCGAGGTGGAGCTCCATAGTATCTCCTTACTGTCTGTCTCTCCGTTGGTCACAGAGAATCAAGTAAACAAGGCTCAAAGGAACGCAGACAGACGTTTTCACCTTTGCAGCGTAAACATATTTAAATGCACCCCTTCTGGAAATTGAGAGCAATTTTGGGTTCTCACACCAGACAGAAGCGGCTCAGTTCTGTGCAGCTCAAACTCCTCCTCGGTGGGGTTTTTGGTTGGAGGAAAAAACAGCCAAACTGCCCGAGCTCTTCGTCACAGATGGGATTTTTAACCACAGAGAGCTTTTTTTAGCCTGGGGCGGAGAGACAGGGTGTGGATGACTTGGATCTGCGGGGGTGAACAGCGTGTGCAGGCTCATGTTCAGGACCAAACGCCTCTTCACGTCGGTTCAGACAGAGGAAAATGGCTGTGATATTTCGCAGGGAAAACAAGCTGCTCCTTTATGAGTTGTGACTGAAATATTTGTCTTTCATTGTGCTCCGTCACATAAAGGAACGATGATTGGATGTTGGTATGTTTCTGCACTGCCCACCTTCATCCCTGTCACATGCACTCCTCCCAGACACGCCATTATCTCCTGCTTTTGATTATTTTGTTCTCATTTGCATTAGAGTGAGGTCAGCCTGAACCTTCAGCCTGGATTTCTTCAGACATTGTATTTCTTGAACAAAGGACAGCTTTCGTCATTCGCTCCCTCGAAGGTTTCTCACACGCATTGCTCTGTCGTTCCTCCTTTGATACTTTTGCACAAACCATCGTTTTTGGCCTCATTTCACCTCAAATCAATCCTCCCCCCATCAATTATGGTGCAGCCTTGAGGTGTTTACGTGTCAGCTGTGCATTTGGGCTGCACATTTTTATACTATCTGCTGCTGCATTTTGTGGTTTCCAGTTTTATCTTGCATCAGAACATTACATAACGTCAAACTTATTTATTGCAAAGTTCAACTCACAGCAGGAAGCGAAGTTCAGCAGTGTCCAGGACTCATTTAAAGTGAGGCACAGCAACCTGGTTAGATTAGTACGAAAAATTTATTTTAGCGATGGATATTTTCTCCAAGCAGCGCTGCCATCCCATCTGGATCGAGCTCACTGCCAGCGTCCAGCAGGCCAGTCCGCCACAAGACACCCCCGGCCTCCACACCCAAACTAAACTCAAATCAGATGAGACACGAGAAGGGGGAGAAAGCAGCAAGTAAATGTTCAGAGCCTGCAGAAAATCCTGCAGGGATGTAAGAAAAAACACTTGCAGATGGTGATTTGGAAAGCCTTACCAAGAAAGGCAACTGGGAATAATCTTTACTGACTTGTTGGTTCTGTTAAATAAAACACTGAATGAGAAAGTATCCAAACTCTGAGGTATAGCTATATTTTCCTTTTTTTAAGATTATGTTTTCCTGTCATCTATCTACTAGTTACACATAACACTTTGTGTGCTGTGCTCCTCTGTCCTTGTGATGTTGTTTAGTCACAGTGTTGTATAGTACATGAGTATACTACATCTGCAAACAGCTGGACTCTATTTTCAGGTCACTTCTAAATGTAATTTACTTCAATTGATTTTAATTTCCAGTAGTGGCATAAGGACCATTAAACAGAAACGTACCTCACAGTTTAAAATCCCTTTTCTTCTTCACAGCTATGAGCTTCTTTTTGCAGGTTTACCGACTCAAACTCAACGATAAACTGCACTAATGCTTTCGACTTTGCACATTAACGTGCTTTTAAGAATACTTACTTTGGATTCAAAGACTCAAAAAGCTGAATGAGTTGTTGCGTCTAAAGGTTCTTAGCACGGGGTGGGCCATAAGTTTCCATACATAGAAAAAAAGAAACATTTATAGTGGACAACCGTTTTTATTTATATAAAGTTTTCTATATAATTGCCATTGTTTTGAATACGCATATTAATACGCGGACCACTTTGTGCTTGCTTGATCTGCAACGTTTCCAGTTTTCTGAAACTTGCAAATAAAAAAAAAACTTGCTCTTTTGTCAAACGCATCTTCTAGGGTATCTGGCATATAAACAAATATATACATTTTACTTTCTCCTATGTGTGGAAACTTATGGCCCACCCTGACCCTGTATATTTTTTTTATGGTGATGTAAAAAGTTAATCTGCCATAAAATGCATTTGAAAAGAGCACCCAGAAAAATCTAGGATGCACAAAACCCCCTCCTGCACAAATGTACCTGAAGACACATCAAGTACATTTAGAACATGTAATATATGATTTGCGTTCAGTTTTTAGAGTTATGAAACTTTATGATTTTATGACAATTAAACTGTTTCCCTTCATATAAACGTAGGCGGAAAAAAAGTTATTTGAAGAAAAGTGTCAAACTGTCTGATACCCGCCCATTCACAGTGAGTCAGAGCTGCGGAGCTGAAATTTCGGAGGCAGTGGGGGGGACATTGAATCCGTCGCTGTATCTGAACTGACGACTCAGGCGGACAACACCGACCGTAACACGGTAAGACGTTTCTCTGTCGCTCCTCCGTGTGAATGAAATGATGGACACGCTCAGATAGTCCGGCTTCTGGACCAAGTTTGTTTTCGACTTCATGAAAATGATGTGGTGAATTATGTCCAGCGGACACCATTTAGTGGTTGAAAAACTCTTTTTGTCACCTTATTTTGCTGCTTGAGACGTCATAGATAGATGTGTGATTTTTAAAATTTTTAAAAATTTTATTAAATAACTGTTTCCGCTTAAATTTACCCCCATTAGCTCCATCGTGCAGGTGTAATTCAGTGAACCAACCGGGAACGTGAAATCTCCGGTTTCTTGCGCGCGCTACGAGTCTAAGACTCAGAAGAACCGAGTCTGAGACTCGGTTCTTCTGAGCCAAATGTTTTCGAACAGCGTCTTTGTTTAGAGTGTCGCAGGGTGGTCGGATAATAATGTCAAATCTCCGTGTGAACTTGTCGCGGCACATGGAGTAGAAAAAACACGTGGATCGTGTTATAAACGAGGTCTTGAGTGGGGAGCACGTGGTCCTCTGCTGCTGCATCAGAGGACAGGAGGAAAGACAGATGAGGCTCTTATCAGCTGGTCCATGTCCTGAGTGGCAAACATGTTTGTTTCCCCCCTGACGAAAACAAATATGTTTGATCTTATATGTTTGTCTCAAAAGTCTACACTGGATTGCTTTCTTTTGGTGATGTGAACAGTTTGGCACATCAGGTAAAAGTATTTCCAGTGTTACATGTGGAATATGTCCAGTACCATTTAGCTGAAAATAAAACAAAAAAACAAAACTTCTATAACCTGGTGGCTTAAGTTTGCAGTTCTTCATTATTCATTATCTTCTTGTTTACACACCTAACTGACTTAAAATAAAACTTACCTGTCCTAGTGAGAGTTTTCACTTCCTCTTAAATGGTAAGGGAATCCTTGCTCCACAAGACTATCCAGGTCTGAATAAATTATTCTTGTTGCAGAGCGTGCTGTCATTTGTAGAAGGCAGATTAAAACCTCAAAGAAATTACACAAAATCCTACATTGAAACACGGTGGTGGCAGCATCATGATCTGACGTTGCTTTTCTTTGCTTTTGAGAGTGAATGCTTGCAATTACCAGTTCATTTCTGTTTCGAATTCAGGTTGAACATGAAGCAAAGAGAATAAGTTCAAGTGAAGAAAATTACACTTTTTGGAAAGGCCAAAGATAAAGTAAAATCACCCAAAGGCGTAGATTACAGAAAATATGGACAACCTTTGAACGGCAACTAAAATGAATGCTGTTTTCATTCATTGGTTGTATATTATTCTGAAAATATCACAATGGAATTTCATGTTAACAAGCCACGTTCATTTTTTTAATTTCAAGCTTGCTGTGTAACATGTAGTCAGCGTCTCATGCATGTTGAACAGAAATCCTGGTTTCATCCGTTTCCTCTATAAAATCTGGATACTTGCTCATCTGAACCATGCAGTGTCTGTGTTCCTTCCTGACGGAGTGTTATGTCTTTCCTGCCATGTGTTTGTACTTTTCCACCAACTCGCTCAGGGAGAGAAAGAGAAGCCTCTTTGTTTTTCAGCAAACAGCTGATCGGAGCCCACCTCTGACTTTCGGTGGGATTTTCTTTTTCACACCTGTTGCTCGATGAGTTGAAGCTAAATCAAAGTCGGAGGGGCACCTTTTTTTTTTTTTTTTGCCCGCGATGGCAGGACGAGGGAGGTTTACAAATGAGGTTGAGACTAGAAGGAAGCATGGTATCTGCTTCCTTCTGCTTCCTGCTTCCTTCTGCCAAGTGGCAGTGCTATTCACTGCCACTTGGTGAGGCGTCATCATGAGTCACTTGAGCAAACTGCAGCGGCTGGTAGCTGCAGCTGAGCTCTTTGTTGCTCTCAGAATGGCGGGAATCTCGGGTAGAGAGCTGGCAGGCTGACCTCAAAAGGCGTCAGACTTTTTTTGATCCTCCGCCTCACTTTGGCACGAATTGATATCTTCCCACCTTCCACTGTTTTCAATCTTCTACAGATGTTTGCACAACTCGAAAGCGCCTGGTAAAAGGCCGTTTCCTTGTCTTGTTATCGTTTCCTGTTCTCCACAGGATTTTTAAACAACAGAGATAAAAAATTGCAGTGGTTCACAGGATTGAAATCACTTACTGTTAGCATTATTTGGGTCCAAACAGGGAAACATACCGGGCGGTACGTTTTATGTATGAGTAATAAGGAGGAAGTATGCACTTTGTTAGCTTCCTGAAGCATTTGCTGTGTCTTAAGCTCAATGAAGTTTCCTCTTAGCTTTTCTTAGAGATTCATCTTTTATTGGCTGACGCTCATTTCCACTTTTATTGAAAATGGTTGTTCTTTTTTTAAGGCTTGCGACAAATACAACCCCTCTTGTGTGAACTCTTGCTTTATTGGAACAATTGATAAGCTCTGGCCATAAAAGACAAATTGTGTTGCGGATGCTTTGACTGAGTTTAATGGTTTTGAATCCGACAGGAAAGAGGGGGTTACAGTGATCACATTTTATGCTTTAAAGCACACATCCATAACTTTTATCTGATTCTCCATAAAATTGCACACGATGTGCATCAAAAGAGACGCCGATTTGTGATGCGCTTCATGAACAAAACATTAGCTCCCAGTATTTGACCTGCTGATGTTCAGTTAGAGCCAAGTCATGAAAAAGTGATTAATTTTAATCTCTGTCCGGTCGGTTGGCGAACATCTGCTGGAGCTTTGTAAGTAAATTAGAAAACATGCATCCTCTTGACTCTTTGCTTTCTTTTCCTTCTGGACAATGAATTAATGAAACTTTATTGCTTTCTCAACGGTTTCAAATGTTTTTCAGGTTTTTTTCTTACGGTTTAAACAGAAGCGTCGTCACTTGTAGCCTAAAACACGGTTGGATTTAGAGTTTCATTTCAATGTCACTCGCATGGTTCACTAACAAGACTGATTCAATCTTTATGGCCCATAGAAGCAACACTCAGTACAAACATTGTCTGCTGTCTCAAAAGGATTTAAATATTAACAAGTTAATTGTTGCATGTCCACAACAAATAAAAACGATTGGACTGGTGGTTTCCAGTTAGATGATGCTTTTTTTGGAGCTGCAGAAACGACAAAACTTGAGCCATTTTGTTGCTGTTTTTTCTCGTTATTGTTCAAAACAAGAACCAAGACAGACGAACATTTCTCAATCTCGTCTCAACTCTGTAACGTTGGGTAACTTTTAACCGCGCCTTGCCCAGTGTTCAAGCCCGCAGAATCATGAATCCCTCCAGCATACCTGACATTCGGCATTTATCTATTCTCCTGATAGCTGTTCTCCTAATCTCATCTGATCAAAACACATATTTCCAGTTTCGGTCTGTTTACTTTTTAGCAAGCTGCAGGATCTCTAAATCAACCAGCTGAAATGTAGATACTTGGAGAACTGGCATCCTCAAGATAGAAGTACTGATATATTTCAATCACTCATCAAACTTGCAATAGCATCCAAGTATGAAATCTCAAGCGTCTGTGGATAGCGTGTGTGAAGTGTGTGCGGCTAACAGTGCGCCTCAGTATTTTGGGCCTGCAATAATAATATTCACTTATTTTTCTTATTAGTTAAGAGAAATCAGCTTTTGTGGCACTTAATATCCACATTTTAAATCTTAGCAGCTCCAATTTGATATTACTAGAAAGATAATTAGAAGATACAAGGACACGGTTTAATTTGTATTTTCAAGTCTTCCTGCTTTTTAGAGGTTATTTATATTTAATAATAGTGAAGGAAATGTCATGCTGTGTGTCAGAGAGGAGCTGCTGTTAAATGCGTTTTCAGAGAGACGTTGCACCTTCATTCATTTATAAAGCCAGTGAGTTTACTGGGCTAAAAATAGCTGTTTTGAAGTCTTGTCCACTCAGCAGTAACATCCACACAGATGAATGTGGTTATCAATGTGACCTGGTTGCACTTTTTCGACAGTCAGACGGTCATAGTTCGTCATATTTCCAATCCCTCAACAGGATCTGCACAGCTGGTTCTGATTCTTTTCACCGGTGGGTTTCTTTGCCCATCTGTAAAGCTTTTCACACAACGTTCTCAGGAGGGTCAATGGTTTACTTTAATCCTGTTTCAGTGAATGACGAATGAAGGCCATTCTATAGACTCACTGAATTAATCATTACTCAAAGGGAGGCTGGATGAGTACAAATATCACATGTTTTTGTTGCTCTTTTGAGGCTGTAATTAATGTTTTATCACCTGATAAGGAGGACAATGCTTTCTTTTCTTTATTGTCCTGATATGAAACAGAATAAGCACGACTCTGTAGTATTTATTATCATTCTTATTTGGACTCAGATGGGATTATATAGATGAAATTCTCTTTAAACCTATTTCTAAAAGTGCTGTTGTTAGATAGTTTTGGTGTGTTTCTGATTACTGAGATTCATTTCCTCCTAGTCTGAGAAAACCATTCAGGTTTATATCTGTCCTGATGAAACGGCATAGCTATACGCGTGTGTGTGAGTGTGTTTCTGCACGTCTGTGTGTGTGTGTGTTTCGGAAACGACCTCCAGAAGGATGTTCTATTACCCTGATCATATGACCAGCATCAAACTATTCCTCAGTCTGGCAATAAAGGTGACTCTGTTAGAGATGGCATACAGCGAGGAACATGAACTCTTGTCCTTTTAAACTCCTTCAACATGTACGGCGCCTAGACTTCAGCGTTGTGTTTTCCTCTAATTGCATTTTTTAAATCAGCGGGATCTGACTGAATGTTAAAATTGTAAATGAGAACCGAGCTTTAGTTTGACACTGATACATGTCTGTGCCAGTTCTGAATGTCACAGAGAGGACAACCAGTAAATGTGTGAAAGTGCACCACTGCGCAGACTGCAAAGTGCTGTGTTTCTGCTGGGCATCGCTCCAGTGCTGGCGACCCTTTGCCAATTGGCTCATGAGCGCGGTGCACTGTGAGAGGGACATACTTTGCAGGAGCATGGCCTTAGCGGTATGTTTTAAACTGGGCCCTGTTGTCGTTGTTGTTGTCTGATGCTGCTGGCTATGATAAGGTTTGGCTGGTTGAGCAGAGCAGAGAGATTAGACGCTTGTGGAGACAACCAGGGTGAGCATGGAAGTTTTATTTCATAAACATTTTCCTCAGTAACCAGGAGTTCCTGCAGCTTTTTCTGAATTTTTACATGATTTCTTCAGTCCACGAACAGTTTAGACTAGAACGTGGAGCCGATTAAAATTAGAATGAATGACAAATGGAAGTGTGAGTTGGTGCAGAGTTGATGCACATTTGATAGGCAACGATTTGAGTCATTGAGGGATGAACTGAGGAACATTTGAACTGAAGGATTGGCGGATAGATAGATGATGCATGGACGGTCAGACTGTTGGATTAGTGATGTATTGAATAGTTTTTGGGATTCTTTAATATATTTTACATTGCCTTTATTTTATTAACAGTACACCAAGAACAAACTCTTGAGAATACATTTTGTTCTTTATAGCCTTTTTTAAAATTATTATTTGGACCTGGAAAATGTTTGAATCAGATTTCACATTTTCCCAGTTGTTTCAGACTGCGTAGGATTTTTCCAAACCACAAAGTTTGGTTTAGAGCAACCACACCTATACCAGAGCGAGGTGGAGCTGAACTTAATGGGATTCCTGTTGTGTCTCTGAGATTGTTTTCCACACAAATTACTGCATTTTATGAAGATATTAAAGGAGAAACATGATGGGTAAAAAAACAAAATTGCTCTCCCACCATGTCAGAAACAGAAGTGTGTGTTTCAAAGCTGACTGAAAAACAGTTACCGTTGGGTAGAAATGTAATTATTGGTAAATTTGATAATAGATTTGACATCTCTTCTTGGTTCTGTTCAATTAACTGTTACATAATGTCAGCCATTGCAACTCTTCCAATTCTGCTGAAAGATATTTTCTATTTCTTTGGAAAAGAATCTCCTACGGGTGTTTGGATGTAAAACTGAGCCTACACACAAACACAATGAAGCTTTCAGTTCTTTGAAAACATTTTGGAGATGGATGATAAGACGGCTATCATCATGGGAGAACCCAAGATAGCTCCTGGGTTCTCCAGAAATGTCTTTGTTGCAGAAGCAGAGCTGTTTTCCCGTCCCACATTCTGTGTCTGCCTTTCCCAGACAGTGGCTCCTAAGTCCTGCCTGATTCCTAATGGGTTAATCGTGCGTTAGCTGCCTTCACATATAGGACTCTGTGTGTAGTCAGGACCAGTCAGAGTCACCATGTGATTTGTTAGGCCAGTAAACTACATGAACATTTGACATGAATGCGGTTTTATGTATTTATATTCATTAATATTTGCAGGATCCTAGTGTTTTTGTTTTTGTGCCATCACCCTGGTTTAGTTTTTTTCCCTTTAATGTTTACAAACACTTTTCAATCAATTCACAAAAATGCTCAAAAAATTGTGAATTACAGAAACAAAACAATGTTTCTGGGATTTATTTTAAATTAAACTAACAAATGCATTAACTTTTTGTCTCTGGTACAGTTCATAGCTGTGATTTGACCTGAAGAACAGGAACTTCTTTGTGTCAGTGGGTAACTTCTCATTGGAGCTGAGAAAAATCACATGCGGCATTCCCCAGGGCTCCATCAAGGAGCCCCTCTTAAGATTTACATTCTCCTTCTAGCTCAGACTGTGATAAGAAATAAGATTAGCCATCATAGCTCTGCAGATGATACTCAGCTCTACATTATGTCACCAGGTGACTCTGAACCCATTCAAGCATCGAACAGATGATTAGAACAAATCAAGGTGTGGATGAGCCACACATTGAAGTTCTTCCGATGAACAAAACAAAATGGTTTTCGAACCAGAGGAAGAATAATTTAGTTATTACAGCTGAGAACTAGACCCAAAATCTGGGATTGGTGATGGAACTCAGACCAGAACCTTCTGAGTCACATAAAGACAGTCACAAAGTCGGCCTTCTATCTCCGGAAGAACATTTCTACAGTTAAGGAGACTAATGTCTCAGCAAGATCTTGAGAAACTCATCCACACATTTATCTTTAGTCACATCAATTACTGCAACAGTGTCTTCACAAGTCTGACTGACCAGCTGCAGCTGATCCAGAACGTTGCTGCTCGCATTGTCACTAAAACCAGAAAGATAGCGAACATCACACCAGTTTTAAAGTCTGCTTCACTTCAGAGAATAGACTTTATATTATTTTAATCACTTAACGGCTTGGCAACACAATACATTAAAGATCTGCTGTTAGTGTATCAGCAGCTCTCAAGTGTTCTGGTTCTGATCTTCTCTGCATTCCCGGAGCCAAACATGAAGCAATAGCATTCGGTTCACTCACCTAAAAATACATTTATAAACCAAATTTGCCTTCATCTAGTTCTTAGCAATTGCAAAATTGCAGATGACTGTGTTGGACTAAGGTTAAAACATGCATGCACCCCGTCATATTGAGTGCTATTTTAGCCAGGATGGTGCAAACAGGATAAAAACAATAAAAAGTGAGCAGGGTGGGGTGCTTCATGAGGAGTTTATGGTCATATTGCTGAAGAAAAAACAGACAGAAATCACATGCAGGACCAAACATCGCTCCATAATGGTTCATCCCTGGTCGACATGCCAGGGATGGTCACATGCACGTGAGAGGAATGTGAATGTAAAGCTCCACTACAAGGATTGGGTTGAGGACTTTCAGGGTCTGAGAGGCTGGAGGAGGAGATGTAGAGTGGGCCAGGTCTAGTGTGTAATTGGGTGTCAACCCAGCGAACCTCTCCATGGTATAAATGAGGAACGCGTGGCTCGTTCAGGGTTGTGCTGATGAGAGGACGCTGGAGTCTCCAGTCTGTTTAAAGGCTGCTGGACAGTAAGTCTCTTTTGTTAGAAGGTACTTTGTCATGTTTTGTTATTCTGAGAGTTTAGAGAAACGTGTTGAGATATTGCGGCATTCTGAATTGTGACTTTTACATTACCTAACTTTGCCAACAGGCGGTAAGATTTCTGTGAACTGTTGACTGTGTTTCACCACCTTCTGCTGTTGTGGCTGCATTTTTTAGCCCATAATGACTGAAAAGTTTCAAATTAGGAAGGAGAGTTGTTTCCACATCTGTTTCCTAAGATTTGTGATGCTCTGCCAACTCGGCTGGCCAGAAGCCACAGCGATTTCTGCTGAAAGTTAATCTGCTGATTTCATCGCTTCGGCTCTTCTTCATTCTTTCTGTCTTTCTCCTGATGTCTATTTGAGCAGCCTGTGCCAGCTTGCTGCCAAGTTTTACTTCTTGCTTTTATAAATAACGTCGCTACCTGGAAAATAACAATTTGTGAATTAATTAACCTACAGCAGAGGCTTGGGAGCCAGTATGTAAATATAATTAGTTTCCATTTGGGGGGGAAGCAGCTCTGAACATTTAAAATAAACAGCCCAGCCTCCAAAACACCAAATCTAAACCAAGGGAGATATTACAGACATACAGAGATTAGAATTTTTGTTACTTATTCAAGGTTTCCCCCAGAAAACTTGCTAAACATCCAGCAGCCTGTCGTGTTTTTGAGTTAAAAAATGTTTAAAGTTGACAGGAAAATTGGAAGTATCACTCGATAATTATGTGTTATTGAAAGATTGGAAGATTAACACCTGAACACCAACTATATTTGTTAGTCTTAACAAATGCAAACATTTTAAAAACACTTAAATGAATAAGCATTGCTTAACCTGGTGGGAACACAAGTAAAGCCTGGTGGCCCGCCAGGCTTGTAATACACTGAGGGAAATCCAGTTATTGTGATAAATTAATATTCAGTATGAACCAGATCAGTTTTTTCCCCTTCCATATTTTAGAACATCGATTCACACGAAGAAGGAATAGATTCTGCTGATTGTGAAAAATATCAATTTTTTTCTGGTCATTTCAGACCTGGTGCCCCTCGATCAAAGACTGAACACAAACCAGACACAGACTGAAAACCATGACGGCCATCAACGCACCTCAGGACAGGTGAGACACTGAACACTCTGCTTACTGCAAACCAGAGATCTCTGTGCTGAACAAAACGCTCCCGTCTTTAGCATCTGGATGAAATCAGTTTGTTGATCTAAAGATGAATGGCTTCACTGATGAACTCTCATGTGGATTTCTTTTCCCAGATACCACGCAGTATGGATTATTTTCTTCATCCTGGGCCTGGGAACTCTTTTACCGTGGAATTTCTTCATGACAGCAACAATGGTAAGATGCGTTTACATCTTACTAAAGAGCCTATTGTAATAATAAAAATTTTACCCCACATTTTAAACTAACTTTATTAATCAGCATGTCTTTAAATTATTTTTATGAGCAATAAGAAATGCTGGCTTTGTTAAAAATATGTATAATTCTTTGATTTAAGAGATTGAAAACTGAAGTTTACTGATTTTCTCCATTTAATCTGACTGAGTTTTAGCTTCTTTAGCAAAGAAGAATGGCCAAAAAAGTCAGTCTGGATGTGCAAAGCCGGTAGAGAACCCCTAAAACATTTTAGTAATTATGCACCGGTGTGATTTATGTACTTTTGTAAACGACAAGCGTCATTTCCCTCCACATGGCACCAACCCGTGACTCCATTCTGCTCTGTGGCAGTGGGAGAACTGCACTAATGCATCTGCGTCTCCCCTCTGCTCTCCTTCAGTACTTCACAAGCCGACTGAAAGATCCAATGACCGAACACAGCAATGTGACTTCAGAACGCAACATGCTGGAGTCAAAGTTCAACAACGTCATGACGCTGTGCGCCATGGTGCCTCTGCTCATTTTCACCTGCCTCAACTCCTTCATACACCAAAGGTAACGCTCGTCCTCTGTACCACACGAGGTCAAACATGCTCAGCCTGGAAATATCTGTAATAACTGTGTTTGAGCTACAGGATGTTTTTTTTTTGCTTTTTAAAGCTCCTTTGCTATATTTACTGAAGGAGAGATCATGCAACATGAGACCTGGAAACCGCCAGGTCTCATCCTCTCACAAGGGATGTGTGTCTTTATCTCAAGTTTGCTTTAATTAGACTTCAGTGAATGTTTTCCTTGAACAAACACAGGCAGGAATGCTATTTATGTTTCCCACTTCCCTCTTCTCGCCTTGGATTTTCTCTTGTCTTTATTTTGGTTTCCTTCCTCTTAACCCCACAGAAGAAAAGCTAGGGCGTAGTGACTTTTCTGTTTGTACTTCACATTCATTCTAAAACTTATTTTGTTAGAATCGTGGTCAGAAAACCGGTGAATGATTTTCTCCCACTTTCTGTATCGTTTTGTTTCAGAATCCCTCAGAAGCTGCGCATCTCGGGCAGCTTGGCGGTCATCTTCCTCGTTTTCATGGTGACGGCTATAATGGTCAAAGTGGAGATAGAGCCTGTTCCCTTCTTCACCCTCACTATGATTAAGATTGTCTGCATCAACTGTGAGTGGTTTGCAACATGAGTTGATGTGTTGTTACATGTGTCTAAACATGATAAAATTAGAAGATTGTGTGGAAGATCGCGTCCTTTCATGTCTTTAAAGACACAATCCTCGTCTAAATAGTGCATGAACACTGGGATTGATAGTGTGGATCTGCAGCCTTCCTCCATGTCAGAACTGACAGTTTTACTTTTGTTGCTCATAATCTTGTATTGATTTGATTTGATTTATTTATGCCACTGAAATGAAAGGCAAATATGCAGTAGTACGACAGAAGCACTGCCAGTGGTTACAAAAGAAAAAAAATGAATAAAATAAATAGATGACGACTAGAGCTCAAAGACCAGGTTATAGGTAAAGACAGTGGTATGGATAGTAATGTACAAAATAAGTTTTTTAATATGTTCCTTCAGGTTTCCAATGGATAATATGCACAACTTTAGCAGATACTGTTAAACTGAGGGCAACATGACTACCAGCCAGTGGAGCGCAGCATTAAACCTTGGCCTAGTTAAAGCAAACAACACCTTGTATAAATGGTGACGCTCCTCTGTCAGACTGAATTAGACTTGTCTTTGTCCAGGTCCACTTCACGTCAGGAATTTTATAGCGATGGGAAAACCTCCATAGCTTCACGCTGAGATTCTCAACACACTCTCTCTTCTCGCTGTGTTTGTTTATTTTCAACAAGTCACAGCGCAGCGGGGAAAAGCTCATCCTCTTTCTTCTCCCCATTGGGTCGGTTCTGACCCGCATGTTCTCATGCACGAGGAGCCAGATGCGTTCTTATTTTTCCTTTAGAGGAGAACGTCGTGACCTGCAGAGCTTTGATGTTCGGCTCATAATTTCTGCATTAGCTGTAGCTAAGGAAGTCATTTCTGTGGCGGAGGAATGGTTCGGTTTCTCTTCTTGTGGTCTTTGCTCCTCTGTGTTTTAAGCTGTTTGATGTTCGTGTCTCACCAGCGTTCGGCGCCGTTCTTCAGGGCAGTCTGTTTGGACTCGCAGGGATCCTGCCCGCCTCCTACACCACTCCCATCATGAGTGGACAGGGCTTGGCTGGCACCTTCGCTGCCTTCTCCATGATCTGCGCTCTGGCCAGTACGTATCTACAAAGTTCTGGTCCAGTCAAAGGATAGCTGCTCACGCTGGTGGTGGTTCTGGTTTACTTTGCGTACTAACCAGTTGATGTGCGGTTCGGTTCTACAGCAGGTAGTGAGCTCTTCCATTACGCGGTCTGTTCCTCATATTGTCGGCGGGACGTGAGCAGCAGCAGCAGCTGAATCAAATCTCCACTGATGTTTGTTGAGATTCTGGATCTGATGGACTAAAATAAGTAGAGATATTTAACTTTGTCTTATATAAATTCATCAGTGGCCCAAACATAATGATGAAGGCCCAGATCAGATGATTATTTCACTATGAATGTTGATTAATTTCAACCTAATGCTAATCCACGGTCAAATTTTGCACACGTGTTCCTGCTGCTGCTGGTCATTATTCTCATGATTAAACTCCAAATCTGACAGCATGTCCTCCATCTAAAGTCAAAACTATAAATGCTCAGGGTAGTTTTGGAGTCGTCAGTGACATAAATCACCAGCCGATCAATGACTGCGATCAGCTGCCAATCAAACGTCTTCGGTGCCACACGTTGATCAGTTCTGCTGGTGCTGCGGGCCGAGACCGTGCGACTCAGCTTCTGTTTTACACTGACCTCAGTAGATCCAGTTTAATCGTCACAGAGGAACAAGAAACATCCGCAGTACTGATATCAGCAAAGATACTTCCACACACATGCTGTATTATTCAACATGCTTAGTAATGAGTCTTGGGTAATTATAGATGATTAATGAATGGCTCCTCAGCAACAAATCTGTTTCTTAGAAGTTGTTTGTCTTTCAATAAAAGCTGCTGGGACTTTTTCTGGTTAGCTTAGTTGCCACTCATTTTACTACTCTAAGGGGATTTACACTTTATTTCCCTAACCCATCACACCACCTCATATATAGTGCCCTAATTTCTCAATTATTATCGCTGGTTAAGACGAGCGATAATATTGTGCAAAAATTAGACTCATCCACCTGATATTTTTCTCATTTGGACACATGTCCACATTGAAATATGTATTTGAAACTAATCACACCACTAGATATTGTGAATATAGAGGTTAAAAAGTCATGATCATTTAGTGATTTAGTATGTTGTTTCTGATTTCAGGCGGATCACAGCTGAAGGACAGCGCTTTTGGCTACTTCGTCACAGCCTGCGTTGTCATTCTCCTGGCCATCACATCCTACTTCATGCTGCCCAAGATGGTGAAGCTCCCCAACTCTGACACTATCGCCGCTTTTCATGTCCTCCTCGTTAACTTCGTGATGGTTGTGTTTTCATCACCAGGAGTTCTTCCAGTATTACATGGAGAGTAATAGATCAGCACCGTCTGCTGACGAGGAAAACAAGATGGACTTACTGAGGAAAGGTGCAGGAAACATGTCTGCTCTATGTAAAACGAGAATGTTAAACTGAGTGACTCAGCAGAAATATGCTGCAATGTCTGTGAACAAAACTGACTTCTTCAGCCTATTAGCCTCTAAAAGATTTTAGCTTTCTGTGTGAGAAATGCCAGAAAGTCTGCATGCACTTTTTATTTTTACGGCATAAGACACATCCAGCTTTTTTTGCGATGTTCAGCAGTTGTTATTTGTTTTTGCTGAGTGCAAAGTTTTCAGTTCTTTCTGCGATCTGGAGTTAAATTTAAAATCCTGCTGCTCATCTGGCATTCAACTACAAAAAACAAAACAAAACAACAAATCCTTCCAAATTGCTGTAAACCAGGTGCCTGTTCTCCTCCTAAAGGCAAAACAAACAAGAATATTTTCTACAAAGAAAGTGCTACATTCTTGCTTTGGCGAATATTATCTTTTCAGACTCTGATTGTTGCTCGACTGGAAACAACTGGAAGCTTCTGAAATCACATTAGATCCGGCAGAGATCGGAAAGAGAGACGCTTCTCCAACTTTCTGTTTGGAGACAGTAAATGCATGCGACTTGTCTGGGCAGAAACCGTCTGCAGTGGGAAAATGTAATCGTATTTTGTTTGTGGCTGACTTTGTGTGTCGGGGGTTGTTGATGTTTGGGTTGGCGGTGATCTCAAACTAAAGCCTTATCTTGGTTTATTTTGCTGCTCAGAAAATCAGGACGAGAAGCAACCGGGGACGGAGCTGATGGAGGAGGAAACCAGCGGCGGCACGTCTGTGTTCAACATCTTCAAACAGGTCTGCTCACATCTTATTACTCATGACTCAAGGTGAAAAACCTGCAGAAATATTGATAATTTAAGCTTAATGTGCCTCCTCTAATCTCTCAGCTTTCAGTAGATGATCAGACGATTCAGTGATTATTGATCATATTGTTCTTGTGCTCTCTGATCAGGTCTGGGTGATGGCTCTGTCCGTGTGCTTCATCTTCACCGTCACTATAGGAACTTTCCCGTCGGTGACCGCTGACGTCAAGTCATCAGTGGCTGTAAAGAACAGCAGCGGCTGGGGTGAGTCTGGGGAGGGAGATTGTTACCAGTAACGCAATAAAATAAAGCTCTCAACGCCTGAAAATGTTCCTGCAATATTTTATGATTTTGGGAGAAATAATCTCTTTTAAATCGATCTGATTTGTAAAAAAAATCGAATAACTAAAATTAGGAAACTTTTCAATTGTTTCCTAATTTATTGAGATGATTCTTCAACTAACATCAGTGATGTTTTGACAAAAATTGACTTTAAGTTTGGAAGTAATTGTGAGTAAATTTATGAAAAATAAAGTGAATAATTTCTGAATAATTTGAGTCGAACTTAAAGGTTTAAAAATTCGGTTTTTAGCATGAAATCATGCTACTGCTCCAAAACTGAAATGAATTTAATGGACTGCACTAAACGAGGAGAATGCTGTGATCGTCTTCAGCCTCCATTTTTACACACATGTTTGATTTCCAGTGCAGTCTAAGTAGGACTGGGTGAAGTGTCTTAAAAATAAAATCTCTCTGGTTTCCTGTTTTCAATTTGAATCAACGTTTACCGGAAGAGCGTCTTGAAATAACAAGTGAAAAGGCGTTTTAATGAGATTAAAGCTTCTGCAGAGTTATCAAAATCTGCTTGAAGCCTGTCGTTTCAAAGTCCTGCTCCTGATAATATTTTGATAGCAACATGCTGAAAGATTAAGTACGTCTTTATCTTTAAAACTGACCCCAGAGTATAAAACACGAGATGCTGAACACGCCTCGTTTTATTTTATTCAGCGTGTCGAAGTGTGGCAACACTGTTTTAACTTCAGTCTCACACAACTTTATTTTCTTATTATTACAGCTGTGTTTTTGTAATATTATAACTTTGTTATTGTAATTGAGCCCTCAATAAAAGATAAATGAAAGATGGCCGCCCCGGGCGTGCTGACATCACTCTGATTGTTTTTTGTGCGCCGTGACGTTGTTCCCATCAGCACAACGGAAAATGAAAGCCAAAAATTGAGTCGATAAAGTCGATTTTATCGCCTGGCCTCTTAAGTCATGTTTTCGTTCTAAAAGCCTCTTTGCTGTGATCTTTCTCCAGGCAAGTACTTCATCCCCGTGTCGTGTTTCCTCCTCTTCAACGTGATGGACTGGGTCGGCAGGAGCCTGACGGCCGTCTGCATGTGGGTCAGTAGCAGCGCCGATACGCCGCTGTAACCGCAGCACGCCAACAAACCCACCTGCATGTCTTGCCTCTTTCAACTCTCTTCAAACAGCCTTGTGGAGAACAGACGCTCGCTGCGTCAGACGCTTACCCCGAGTAAATCTATGCCTCGCGAGGAACGCTGGAAAAACAAAAGTTGTTTCCTGTTGAAAGTCCAGAAGGCGAGGTTATGTGCTGAGGTCAGAGGTTTGCTTTGGAGAGCAGTCTGTGTCTTTTCTTTCCGAGTGAAGGAAGTCTCTGTAAAGGTCAGAGGAAAACGGACGATGGGGATCCTAAAAGAACAATGGCGGAGGGGCCACAGACTCTGAACTCTGTGACTCTTAGAGTCAGTCAGACATTTCTGGATCATTTCTCAGCAGCAATGAAAAAACATTTCTGGTGCAGAAACTGGAATTTGCCATTTTTATGGTGAATGGATGAATTTATACATCAGTTTTCTAGAACTAACGACTGCAATCTGATTCTCCCAATCAGATGGTAAGACATCTTACTCTACCCACTGATCCACTTTCTACATTTCCGGGTAGATGTTCTGTAAATGAGTTTAAAAACACACACAATATGCATTTGACAGGTTAATATTTGAGGTAAAAACAACGAGTCAACTTATTGTTTGCCTTTGCAGGACAAACAGTTGCAAACTCTGCAAATGTATCTGCACACTGTGTCAACAAGAGAGCCGTCAGCTGGCATGATGGGAAAAAAACGTCTTCGGTTTGGTCAAAGATGCCGTTTTCTTCCCCGTCAAAACCAAACAAAGTGGGAAGTTTTCTAGTTTTAACGGCGCGCTAGGTTTGATGATGAAGTCATTTTCCTGGACGTTTCCCCTCATTTCCTAACCGGCTCTTAAATTTCTTCAAGTCAACACAGGCGGGTTCAACTGAGCGGCATTCAGTCCAGATCTTAATTCAGCTGGAAAAAAAAAAAAAATTAGGATTACGCTGACGCTTGTGCTGCTTTATTCATTCTGTCCCAGCTTGATGTGAAAACGACATGTTTTGTTTTATAGGCCTGTTTTTACAAAGCTATCGAGAAAATATCGTCATGTTTTCTTGCTCTCTTTTTTGCTGCAAAGTTAAATCCTTGACTATCATGGAAATATTATCAGAAACTTTGGCTTCTGTCCCAAGACAACACAGAGGTTACTATTCAGAACGTCCAAAAAAAAAAAAGTTTTAATTTCCTGTGAACGATCCGACCGGATGTAAAGGAATCAAGAATAAACGGAGTACAGTTGCGGCACAAACTCGGCGCGGAGGAATGCGGCTCCGTGACGGTCAGCTGCTGCAGGAGCATGTGAGCTCGTTTATCATCATCGGAGGAAGACGGTCGGATCTGATTGGATTTTCCTGCTCCTGCTCTGAAATCTCTGCGTCCCGTGATTTACACCGAAGCGCTGCCTGGTCGGCGCACGAAGACGATGACGTCAGGGAACGATGGCGGCAGATAAATGTTTCCGACAGGGATGCAGATGAGGTTATCTCGTTTTTCACTGGCAAAAATTAGTACAAGTCTTCGTCGCAAGTGTTCTCAATTCAGGATGAGGCTCTGAAAAAGTCAATTAATGACCCAAAATAACCTGAACATTTGGAAAAAATGTGAGTTAATCATTTAAGCTGAGCTTCAGAGCTGGACATTTATTGTATTCTCTTTCTCATTTATTATGACAATATCTTTATAAGTGTTTTGATTCAAATGTTGTCTGGATAGATAAAAAACATATTTATAAAATAATATTTTTTGTTATTTTCTCCACTTTCTGTTGCTAAACAGCATTTACAAATAACAGTGAATTCCAAACATGATTAAATGCAGTGACTGCTGACAGAAATCACACGTCTTTAAGGAAGCGACGTCCCGAAAAAGCTTGTTTCAAACGGAAATGTTGCTCTTACTCTGCTTATCGCTCAGCAGCAACTCGATACTCTGTATATTTGAAGCTCTGACCCGTCCCATGTCGTCCCTCTGTGTGTCCAGCCGGGTAAGGACAGCATCTGGCTTCCTGTCCTGTGTGGCGTCAGAGTCGTCTTCATCCCGCTCTTCATGCTATGCAACGTCGATCCTCGCGTCAACCTCCCCGTGGTTTTCCGTCACGACGCCTGGTACATCGCCTTCATGATACTCTTCTCCTTCTCCAACGGATACCTGGCCAGCCTCTGCATGTGCTTCGGACCCAAGTAAGGCTTTCGGACCCGCTCTGACCTCCAGTGGTGTTAATCCTCAGAAACGTGGATATTGATGTCGTTGTATCAGGTATTCTAGTAAACTCCTGTGTGATTTGTCTTTCTGCAGGAAGGTACCGCAGCATCAGGCGGAGACAGCAGGCGCCATCATGGCCTTCTTCCTGTCCCTCGGCTTGGCGCTGGGCGCTGGGGTCTCCTTTGGTATCCGGGTCGTGATCTAAGCCCCGAGTTTGTGTTGTAAATAAGACCGCTTCACCCTCGTCACCTCCACCCGACATGAGTCTGTCGGGGGTGGAGCAGAAGCCAGGGAGGACTGAAAACCCTCGGTCCTTCAGTGTTCAGCAGGAACTCATCCTGCCTAAAGCTAAAATGTGTTAATTTAATGTTTTTATTTTCTACTCCAGATTCAGGAAATGTGTTTACTTTAAACCAAATGTTTTAGATGTTACAGACAACTGTTGAAGCAGCAATAATGCTTTTATAAAACTTTATTGTCCGTCTTGATCAGTTTTCAGATATGACACAAACCTCGTTAAGATGCGTTCAGAGGACATCTGGTCACAGCTGCGGCTCCTCGACACGCCAGTATTTATAACCAGTAGGTACGATTGATAAGCTGTGATCATTAATCCGATGTTAGTTATGACAGATGTCAAAGTGCCACTCGTTGCTGCACTGCAGGCTCATGTGAAGAAACCAAATACACAAAAAGAGAGGGGAGCACAATGGACTGAAGGGACGCTCCCTTCTGACAAACCACAATAACAGAAACAGCAAAGATTCATTTCATCCTGGAGATTGTTTTTCTCTGGAAGCAGTTTTAGATCTGGATCTAGTTTTAGATCAGATGACATTTTGACTTGAATGATAAGTATTGCCTGTTCAGATTTTAAGGCCCACATCTCATGTCATTTGTTTTGTTTTGTTACACCAAGCATGTGTTTTTGAAAATATGAACAACTGCAACATAACGTGCAGCTTAGATTAATTTGAAAAGCGATTAAATCAGGAAGAGTGCCATTTTTTATGCTTCTTTTAAAATTAGGTTTTTATACAAGCAATAGTTTATAACGTCTTCCAAGCTCTCACTTCACAAACACAGTATATGTATTTTTGTTTGTTTACATTTATTAGCGTTTTTTTGTGTTCAGTATTGACCAGCTGTAGAAAACCTAGTTGTACACATCTTAACCAACAAATGCTTTAAAAGCACTCTCGGTGTTATGAGCTTCTCTACTGTGTTTAATGGAAGAATAAATCTTTTTTTAAAAAACATTGGCTCCTCCTGGTGGTCATTTGTGGAACTTTGTATCACTTTGCATGATGAATCTATGAGCTTCATTTTGTGGACTGAACTCCTGACTTTTCAATTATATGATATATCGAACATTAAACTCCAGCAAACTTCCCTTTAAAGCCATCTCAATATCTTGCATTTAGGATAAAGTGTAAACAATCCCACAAACTTGAAAAATAGCAAATTTCACGTCGTCGGAAGCAACAAATTTACGTTTTATGCTGAGATTTACTATATGCAGCAATGTGTTCGTAGCATTTATCTTTTGCTGCTTGTTTCATACTTGGTCATTTATTTCTATAACTATGGCATCAGGTGATCATGGTCTTTAAATGATATCGTTGATTTTTATACCACTTCCTTGCACTTAGCGCTGTCATTTGGTCAAACCATTTCAAGATATTTCAAAACTTGTTTTGTCTTCAAATTATGCAATTGCTTCAGAAAACATTTGGTAAAAGTGATTAATAAACCTTTTAATTGATTTCAGAAGAATTGAGATTGCAAAAACTCGCTATGAAATCTGGGTTTGCAAAAACTCGCTATGAAATCTGGGTTTGTAATATCTAGTCTGAAACGCATCTGTTGAAATGTTTGATTCATCTCCCTGCTGCCATAAAGTTTAAAAATACTTTTAAGACTTAAAGGGATTCCAGAAAAAAATAAAGAGGAGCCAAGAAAACCGTGTGTATGATTTATTCTTAAAATTAACATTTTAAACAAAAATAAATTACCAGAGCTATCTTTAAAAGTCAGGCTAATGTCTCCGGTCCAGCAAACAGTCCAGTCTGGATACAAGTATCCGCAACATGCAGCCGTCCAGTCCGTCCTGGTGACCATGAGCAGCGAATGGAAACAGCAGGAGCTTCTCCTTTACCAGACCAGACTGGAAGAAAACAGCCATGGAAAACTGATCTATAAAAATGTGTACATTGTTTATTTAAATAATCAACATACATGCCTGATTTAATATACGAGCACAGAAAAAGAGAAACTGTACAATACGAGGCTGCTGATCGAGGCGAGGATGGAATCGGTGGAAAAGACACGTGCAGCTGTTGGTGTGAAAGGCTAAAAGAAATAAAAATAAAAATAAACCCACGGCGGAGTTCCTCAGGGAGGTTCATGTTGTGCATTAAAATCCATTTCATTCTACTTCTGGGAGGTTCCAGCCCTGGCTGAGAAACATCCGGCGAGAGATTCGAGTTCAGCTCATTTCTTTAAAACCAAAAAAATTCAAAACGAGGAAAATCTAACTTCAAAGAACATCAAACCGTGAATGAGACCGACAGTCTGAGCTGGAGCTCCCACAGCTTCTGAGGCTGCAACCAGTGTGTGCTGGTGCAGCTTTAATGGAAGGCATGGATGAGAAAAAAAAACATTAAAAAATTGTTTAAAAATGAACTTCTCTTCTATAGCTGGGCTCTAAAAGCTCTTTACAGCATGCATAGAGCTCAATACTGGCACATCTGCTATGAGACACCAAAGGCTGCTTCAAAGCACACTTTGCTATCTAAAAACAATAAAAAAAAACAAAACAACAACAGACCCCCTTAAAGAAACAACAGTAGGGAAACACTTGCTGCTACCTGCAGCTCTTCAGTTATCTATAAGAAGTATTAAAGGGACACAGGGAAAGGTGAAGGCAGCCTGACTCCAGAGTTTGATCATTAAAAACGTCGCCTCCTAGTGTTTGGAAAGAAATACAGCTTTGCTTTATTTCCGTAGCTCAAGTTTTTCATTGACAGAATTCAAGGAATCGACCAGTTATTGGTTTTCTGAGCGGATGAATCAGTAGAATCAGTAGTGTTGAGAAGATGTCAGGGAAACAGAAAAGAAAACCTGCACTTCGAAGGGTGGTGCATCCGTCGCTAGCAGCTGCCCACAGCTGTGTCAGTTTCCTTCATCTTGAACTGAGTGCAGTCCGACTCCAGCCAAAAGCAAATGCACCAAAATAAAAAAAACAAAACGAGAAGAAACATGAAGCACGGCAGATGACGCTCTGCTCGGTCCGTTGATTGTGCAGCATGTTGAGCGAGGCACTAGGGGGCGATGAAGAGCAGGTCACGCTGCAAGGCGACAAAACAGAGAGACGGGGCGCAGACGAAAACAAAACGTAGAAAGAGGGTCAGCTTTGGTGTTGGACTAGTCCCACAGCTCTAGCAGTGGACAGACGGGGGTGAGAGGAACGCGACGATGATGACGATGAGGGAGAGGAAGAGCGGTCAGTCAGTCTTTAACCTGGTGGGCTGGGAGCCCTGTTCTGTCAAACTGGCTCTGATGGAGTTGAAGACCGTCTGTCGGACGTTGTCCTCCATGTAATTTTCAACAAGTGGCTTCAAAACCTGAAGGAGAGGGAAAAAAAAAACAATCAGCATTCATTCATGTTGAAAGGGAAACTGAAGAGAAACAGGAAGCAGGCCCCAACATGCTCAAATAAAAGCCACTTTTCTACTTCATTCTAAATAAGATCATAAACGGTTTGCCTTTTTAAGATCCACAGACGGCTGCAGCTCTGCAGGTTTCCGCACTGAGCAAAAGTAAAGTTCAAGAATCCGACACAAAAAGGTCTGAAAGATGATTAAAGGAGGCGGCAGCAAACAGGACATTTCTACACGAGAGGCAAAGTTAAGAGTCTGAGTCCAGCAGCTGGCCAGCAGCTAGTTGGTCTTCTTGTAGTTGTTGTTGAGAGGAACCAGAGCTTTGAGTCCAAGCGTGGCTCCTGATGGGAGGGAAGGGAGCAGAGAGAGGGGCCACGCCAGGTGGCTCCTGATGGGCTCCAAGAGTTTGGAAATCACCTGGAAGGAAAAGCAAGGAGGAACAGCGGAGTTAAATGAGGAGGACTGGCATGAAGACGGGCGGCGGGAGAGAGAGGGAGGTGGGACGAGACTGGAGCGGGGGGGAAAAGAAAAAAGGGATATTGCTTAGGATTCAAGCACATAAATAAAAAAAGAAAGAGGACGAGAAGGAAAGGAAATCAGGTGGGATGCTTTGAAAGGTGGACAGGCGGAAGATCGAGAAACGGGAGCCGATACGTCTCACCTTTCTGACCGTCCTCTGAAAAGCAGGGGAGGCAAGAAGAGACAAACGGGAAGGAAGGAGAAGCAACAGGAGACGTGAGGGACAGAAATCAGAGCTGCTTCTCCTGGCGAACAGCGGGTTAGGAGGGAGGGTTTTAGCGTAGTCATCATGGCCCTGCATTAAAACATAAACAGGTGCACTGAGTCTGAAGACATTTAGACACATGAAGGTGGTTTCTGCATCAGAAACGCTCTGAGTTTGTTTACGCCTGCATCTGTTAATTAACCCAGGATAAACGTTAGCGTCCAGTCTAACCACTTCCTCTGCAGTCTTCCACATTTATCCTGATGGAAACTACTTAAGAATTAAGCGCCTAAACTGGACTTTTGCATCAACTGGACTTTTGAGGCAGGTATCACTGTACCGATCAATCAGATTGTTCATTTCTTAATTTTTCCTGTTTGTGTACCCTGAATTAAAAACCATAAAATGTCTCCATTTGGTCAAATGTTTCAGAATATCTCTCATCTACAGACCAACATGAATTTCTTGCCAACAAAATCACGCTTCATTATCCCCCATGAATCCATTTATACTCGACAACATGAACGGAAACACACACTCCGTCCAGCTTTGGCTCTGATTGCTCACCTGTTCCCAGAGCGCTTCGGCCAACTGGTCTATCAACATTCCCGCCTCCCGAAACTCTCCCGAATACTTCACGTACGCCCAGATGCAGAGGAGCAGCAGCGCCACGCCCAGGACCATGTTGGCCAGCGCCGCGAAGACGCTCAGGCCGATGAAGCCGGTCACCCCCGACAGCACGTAGGTGAAAAACATGACCACGAAGAGCGTGGCGGGCGTGCGGGCTGCGTAGAAGATGTTTTTGCCCTCGTTGTGCTTGCAGAAGTTGGTGAAGGCCTCCTTCAGCTCCGACTCCAGCCGGTCCTGGTAGCGTTGGCAGAACTCCTCGCCGCCCATTTTCTTTACGGAGCGGAAAAACGCGACAGAGTCTTTGCAGAAAGCTTCGTGGCAGCTCTCCAGGTCGGCCGGGGCCATGTACGGCCGGTCCCCTCCGCAGACCTGTCGGGGCGGGACCAAAGAAACGACAGAAAAATGACCAGAGTTATTCCTGACCAAGTTCGCGAACGCTCAGATCATCTGAAGCCGTTTTCTTCAACATGACACCGTTTATGCTCAGTATAAAGGCTCCATCAATAAGTGCAGCAGTGAAACTTTCTGTAACTTCATGTCATCTTCTCCTTTCCTTCATTTAACATTAGTAGATTGTATAATAATAATAATAATTCCATTATAATTATTATACAGCTGTAGTTTTAGGAGCTTATTTTGTTGAAACACACAGATAGACACCAATAAATCTATTTTGTTTTACAAGAAAAATGATGTTAATCACCCAGAGATCAAAAGGATAAAAATCAATTTGATGTTTACATGAGCAGTGAATGAGGGTCTAATTGAGGTCTAAACCATTTAGTTTTATAGACAACTAAATGGTTCCTCAGCATATGGAACTACAGTAGTGAACTTTTCTGTAACTTCTCCTTTTGTGTTTATCTAAAACTTGTTCAAAACTTTTTATGTTTCAGTTTTTGCTGTCTCAGGTGCCCTGGTTTAGTTTGGGAATAATGAGAGGGGTGATATTTATACCAATTGTGGCGAATTTTATTGCAACCAGTGTGAGCAGCACGCCCCAGTGTGTCTGCGTATTGCTGCTGCGGAAGCTCTGATGTACAGAGAGAGAGGAGCAGACCGTTCCAACACTGAACGATTCTGATTCAGCACATTTTACTTCTTTTTCTTCCTTCCAGGCCTGGAAAATGTCAGACTGATGAAATAACTTCCATTTCCAAATCATACCGCAGCAGTGCTCAGATTTTTTTTTTAATGATTATCCATTGATCTTTCTAATCATCTGTCACCAGCCACCAGGGGG